TCGGTGCTGAGACTGATATGTAGCCCCCTTCCCCTCTTGCCTCGTTTTTAATTTTTTTGTGTACTTTTTGCGATTTTGTTTTTGAATCCGTCTTTATTTTTAGAGCTCAGCTCTAGGCCTGGGGGTAGAAGCTGAGCCAGTTGGTGGTACATATTACAACGGTTAAACCAGCTGAACTACGAAAATAGGGAGAAAGGAGTAAACCAGCGATCGCTTGTCTTCACTCCTTTCTCCCTATTTTCGTAGTTCAGCTGGTTTAACCGTTGTCTTAGGCCTGGTTCACACTTGCGAATCGGCGGCCGAACCTGCGAGAATTCGGCCGCCGGGCGTAGCGTCCACTGTGCACTGCCGCGGCCGATTCCGCTTCGGCGGCAGCGGATTACCTGTAGCTGTGAACCAGGCCTTAGGCGCCTGTTTCCGGCTTGAGCGGCGTCGGCTTAACAGCGCAGTGCATTATGGGTAAATTTTCCCGTTAAATTTAGCAGAAAAGTTTTAGCGCTAAATCTAGCGGAAAATATTTCCGCTAGAGTTAACAAAAAAAGAATTTCCCGCTAAACCTCGCGTAAAAATTTTCCCGCTAAATCTAGCCGAAAAATTTCCCCGCTCAATCTAGCCGAAAAATTTCCCCGCTAAACCTAGCGGAAAAAATTCCTCCGCTGGATTTAGCGGAAAAATTTCCCCGGTAGATTTAACGGAAAAATTTCACCGCTAGATTTAGCAGAAAAATTTCCCGCTAAATCTGGGCAAGAATTTCCCAACTAGATTGAGCGTAAAAATTTCCCCGCTAAATTTAGCAGAAATATTTCCCCGCGAAATCTAGCGAAAAAAGTTTGCCCCTTAAATATAGACGCTTTGTAGCAGCTGAGCGTGGGTGCCGCCATAAGTGACCTTCAGTTTTTGTTACCTTTTATTACAATTACTTCACTTGACTGTGACTTCAGCAGGGCAGGTTATTGCCCTTTTAGGTTCTGCTGCGTCCTCCTCCACAGCACTGACCTTTGTAGAGGCTCGTCAACGCCCGCTTTAGTTGCTTGGCATCTGGGAAAGACAACTGAAGGTCATCAATGGCGGCTGTAATTGGGCGCGTGTGTAAAGCGTCTATAGCGGGAAACTTTCCCCGCTAAATCTAGCAAAAACATTTTTCCGTTAAAATTAGCGGAAACTTTTTCCCTGAATCGGAGCCGAGCAGTAGAGGAGGAGGGGCATAGCCTCCTCTATGCACCTTCCCCTCCTCCTCCTCAAGAGCTGCGCTCTAGTTCGGCGTTACTGGAAGTTGTAAACGGCGTTCTTTTTTTTGTTTCTTGTTTTAGTCGTTTGTAATTTTGAGTTTAATTTCTTGTACCACTGAATGTGTCGAAGTAACCCTCATTTTATCTGACTTTTTTTAATATCTTCCATAATGGTTCATTCTGCGTTTTTGAAAGCTTTTATGAGAACTGATTCTACAGAAACACCCCCTATGTACTGCCCTTTGGCCTTTACGGTTTTTGAAATTAAAATAAATCTGATTTCAATTGATCCGCGTAGAGTGCGGTGAGCACCGGATCCATAAAATGGTCAGACCTTTTAAAATTTCCAAATAAAAAAATGAAAGCCGTTTACAGCTCCCTGTAATGCTGAATTAGAGCGCAGCTCTTAAGGAGTGGGAAGGTGAGGTACGGAGAGGAGGCTATGCCCCTCCTCCTCTCCTGCTTGCCATTTAGAGAAAAAGTTTTCGCTAAATTTAGCGGGAAATCTTTCCGCGAGATTTAGCTGGGAAAATTTTCTGCTAGATTTAGCGGAGAAATCTTTCCGCTAGGTCTAGCGTGGAAACTGTTTCCACTAAATTTGGGGGGAAAAATATGTTTCGCTAATTTAAGCTGGGAATTCTTTCCGCTAAAATTAGCGGGGACATTTTTCCTCTAGATTCAGGGTGGGGACATTTTTTCGCTAGATTTAGCGGGGACATTTTTCCGCTATATTTAGCAAGAAAATTTTTCCGCTAAATTTAGTGGGAAAAATTTCTGCTAAATTCAGCGGGGAAATTTACCCATAGTGTACCGCGCAAGTACGCCGACGGTGACGCCAACGGCGACGTCGACGCCGCTCACGCCGGAAACGGGCGCCTAAAGCCTGATTCATATGGTGCGATTTTCTTCTGCGAAATCGGTGAAGCGATGAACCGCACATGCGAAATTTCGCGTTTCTTTCATATTGATTGAGAACATATGCGATTTTCCGCACTTGCGAAGCACATGGTTGGAGCCTTTGAATTCGTTTCAGGATACTAATTTTGATATTTAACAAAATGATAAAATTTTCAGATTTATTTTTTAGCTTCTGGTAAAAAGTACGCGGTATACTTATATTTAGGGCCGATTCAGACGTTTGCATAGACTGCATTCGCATCAACGAAAATGACAAAAACAACGAATACGACGAATGCGACAAGGACACCGGGAGAGCCACAGCTCATAACTGCTTGAGCAAGCTAGTTCTTGCGTTGCTTGTCATGTCGCTCAAGGCGAACAGTTGTCCCGGTGGCTTCGTCACGTGGACGATGTTCCATATTGAAAAAAAAAATTGGGTTGTGTGTGTGTTTATACAGCCTAGAACTTGGTCTACCTCACAGGGGCGACGAGTCTCCCAGCTGTAGATGAGCAATTTAGCCAGTGCGGTACAGCCGCTAGCCTGGGGTCTTTAACGTGCACCACGCAGTAGTGATACACGACCGCACGCCGGTACGATGCTCATCCAGATCAAAACGGGCAGCGGTGGGGCTCGAACCCAGGATCCCTGGGTTCTGCAGCGCGAGCTTTCGCTCCACGTGCTCCGAGCTGGTGTGCGCTAGACCACTCGGCCACCGATTTTTTTTTTTCTTTATTGTCGGCCACCGATCCCCCTGTTCCATATTGAAAGAGGGCAAGTAGCAGCGCGTCTTGACTTTCATAGAGCATGATGGCCGCTACTCTAGGTGACGACGAGTTCAGTCTGCTCTGTAAAAAAATATACCTACTTCTGCGGAAAAAAAAAAAAAACTGCTGCTCCTAACGGAAGCCCGCGGGGATGGTTGGTCAGGCCGTGCTGGCAAAACAGAGCTAAAGAATCGGAGTTTTACTCATCGGTAAGTCGACTTGTGCTTTTCTGCGAGCGGGTTTCTGGCATACTTTTTCTCTGCAGACCCTATTTATGCCGCACAGGGACCCGGAGCAGTTTCGAAGATATTACCGGATAATGCCGAACACTTCTTGAAAGACTCCACGCTCGCCTGGAAACAAAGCTTACGAAGCAATATGTCGTCAGAGAGCCCATTTCGTCGTGGGTGCGGCTTGCTATCACTTTGAGGTAAAATGGTATTCTTTTTAAACTGCACTGTTTGGAGTGGATACGAGGTGCAATTAAACTGGTTTGTATGGCGAACTCATTACTAGTTTCTCGGCTTCCAGACATAATATACACAACAATGTTTTGTTTTTATTCAGGTACCTGCCATTGGCAACGTCAACGCAGGATCTCGCACTGCAATTCAAGGTTGGAGTGTCGACAGTGGCATCCATCGTGCATGAGAGATGTCCGCATATATGGAAGGTGCTTCGCCCAAAACACATGAAGGTTAGCAAAGAAATATGATTTCGTTTTTGGTAACTTGTGGAAAAGAGGACGGTTTCACATGGAGCGATTTTAGTTGCGATTTCGCAGTTGCGACGGCGCTGTTGTGGCAAACAGGCAGGTTCAATGCGATTATGAAATAATCGGAGCTGCGTCAATTGTCAAACATCTTTCGTGACTTCACCAGCGCCGCTACGACGGTACGGAAAGACAGCCAATAAAAACCCGCCTTGTCCAAAACCAACCGTATTCTTAATATCGCATGCATGCTGTAAAAGAGTCGCTGGCGTCTCGTAATGAAAACAAATGCTTTAAATAGAGGTGGTATTTCGGTAGTCTGGTATTCACTGGCGGCCATAGCTTGCGCCGGTTGCTGTTGAGAGCACGCGCTGTTAGTGAATTTGCACAACCTTTCTGCAACGTATATTTCACACCGTCAAGATTGTTTATCTTTGCCAGCAGTACGTGGCAGTTCTTTTTGAGCTGTAGCTGCGAACAATGCGCGCCAATACGGCGTCCACTAAATACCGCCTTTAAAGATGTAGATCATTGCGAACACCAAGACTCATAATGGTGGTTTTAGGAAAGTGATGAATTCAAGTCTCCCCCCCCCCCCCTTGCCCTGGTGTACTCTTTCCACACACTACCCAACCACGGAATCATCCAGAATTCTAAATCAGGGCGTGTTGCAATTATTCGGGGGCGGAGGGGGGGCTGTTGGGAGGGGGTGGCCTTAGGTCTAGATGCATTGGTCAAGAAAATCTGGGGGGTGTCGCCCCCAACCTGGAGATAAATAGGGGGGTGTCGGAAGGGGCTGACCTTGGGTTTATATACACTGCTTAAGACATTCTGGGGGGGGGGGGGGGGGGGGGTGTCACACCCAACCTGAAGGTAATTATTAGAGTCGGGCGTACAAATCACTGCAGCAAACTCGTCCTTTGCAGCTGCTCCTAACTAGACGGGATCGCAAATATTGAGGCGAATTCTGCGGTTCCATGGGTTTATATGCGCAGCCGAAATATCTAAATGAATTATGTTGAAAGCTGTACTGTCAAAAATGGTTTCTTAAAAAGTTTACACAGCAGAGCCATTGATTTATGATTATAGGGACGAACTTGGGAAAGGAGGGCTGCTGACCTGAGGATGTTGAGGGCCTCAATGCTATTACTGCGCCACCTTCGAAAGACGGGCCACACATTACGCATCCTACGAATACAGTTTGCAGACAAATAGCAATTCGAGGCACCGCAGCACCCCTGCTTTGTATGTCGCACGGCAACCAATGAAAGGAGCAGCCTGGCACGCGGCTTTAGAAACACGGGTGAGTCAGTGAGTCGCGTTCAATCGATGTCTGCAGACTGGTTTTTGTCTTTTGTATACGCAGTCTTACACCGGTCTGACTTGGGCATAATATGATAGCTCACAAAAGTAAGTTGTGAGTGCCTGGAGCTGGGCTGGTTGGCTAAACATGTTTCCGAAAGTTTCCAGCTGAACGTAGAAAAAACGGAGCGAGGGAGAAAACAAAAAAAAACCAGACCCACAGCTTTTCAGATTCAGTTACAAAAGTATTCACAATTGTTAAGCGTCAACAAGTATTTCTCATATTTGAGGATGCATTTATTACCAGTATTACTATAGGTGAGGTAAGATTACATGAACTGATTTTAAATAACAACGTAAAACCACGTGTGAACTTTGTGCTGTACTTCTAGCTCCCATAAAGAATCACAGACTGGGAAGAAATGGCCGAGGGCTATGAGACAGGCCGGAATTTTCCTCATTGTGTGGGGGCCGTTGACGGAAAACACGTACATATCGAGGCCGTTGCCGATTCTGGAAGCGTGTAAAATAACTACAAGGTGCTGTATATGGGTCTAGAAATTTACTTTAACATATATCATGTTTCGCATGAGCACATGAAGTGACGTAACATTCGACTTTTCAGGGTAACCTACTCTATAATTCTGGTGGCTGTCGTGGGCAGCAAGTTGAGGTTTGTGGCCACAGACGCTGGAGCGTATGGCCACCAAAGTGATGGTGGCGTCTTCAAGGCATCAAGGATAGGACAGTGCCTCAGTCAAAGTGCCTTGAATTGTCCACCACCAAATCTGCTGCCATCTTCGCATGTTATCGCCGCGTACGTTTTCGTTGGAGACAAGGCACCTAGCTGAACTGAGGCCTGACTTTCTGAGGCCCTGTCCTGGTTGATACCTCAGCGATTATCTAAAAATATTCAACTATCGACTGTGTAGAGCGAGGTAACCTTTAGAATTGTTGCACTTGCATTTTAATAACAAAAATCACAATGTTGTCTTTGTCCCATTTTCAGAAGGTGCTTCGAGAACGCATTCGAAATTTTGGCTACTAGATTTTGCATGTTCCGCAGCCCCATCGACCTCCTCCCAGACCACGCCACTGGAGTCGTCCGCGCAGCTTGTGTACTGCACAACTACCTACAAGACGACAAGTTGCACATGCTAAATGCCTATGCTGATTGAAGTCCACCACTTCGGCAACATCGTTGATGGCCAGTGGCGCAAGGTCTCTCAACAGACAAGCCCGTTGCTCCACCTACCGAGGCTGAGATCGCGGCACGTCAACCAATCTGCCCGAAAATTAACACAATGGCCACCGCAGTGAGAGACCTGTGCTGGAGATACTTTGTAAAGGAAGCTGCAGTGTCATGGCCAAGAAACAGCGCTAGACTGAAATCCTAAGTAGTGTCAGTGGTATGGCGACAAATCACAAAGTTTTCAAGTTTTTGTGTGTGAGGATCGTCTGACCTATTTCCGGTGGAACAGGGAGCTGAGGCCACCATTACAACAATATTCTGCCGCTGCGAGTTAGCTACTTTTGAACGGGCGCTCTGGTGTGAGACGGCTTCCGTGTGAGGCCCACTAGTACTTTGAACAGAGAAAGTGAAACATCTGTATTGTACCCAGACCGGTGGTACTGGAGAGGGATGAAATTAGGGACTCTCCCTGTTCATGTACGCTCTTAATGTGCTTAACTAGGAGTGGATGTAATTTATACTCTGCCGCCCGTGGAGGAGTGACCCAGTCCTCTCAGATCCTTGGTTGGATAAGTGGGACGAGTGTTTTCAGTGCACGTTCTGCAAGATCCTGAACTGTCGCGCAGTCCTTAAAGGGAAGCCGGAACACTCCTTTAAAAAAAAATAAAAACAGATAAAGCTTGATTCTAGCGTAGTTTTATCCCGTGGATATGAATATCGCGTTCGTTTTCCCCGAAGATGGAACTAAACGTGAGAAAACACGAAAAACACCCGACCCATCGTGGCGTCATAAGAGGGCCTTCCGGCCGCAAAGCTTGTGTCGCTCGAGAGCCGCGCATGCAATCCCTATCTTGCCAGGTGTATTCCCCCCTACTGGCAAAAGTGTTAACATCTTTTTCTGCCCTTCTTAAAAACAAATAGCAAGAGTACGCATGCATAGCTTTGATGCACGCTGCTGGAAGGAAGATTCCGAAAACTCCTTTTGTGACGTCACGCTCCTGGAAGGAGGGCCTTCGGCGGTACATTGAAGATGATTTTCTGCAACCTCCATGCACCAAATTATAAAAGAAATAATTTCGATATTCGAGATCCTGGAGGTGAAACCAAGACGATTTAAGTGTGTTTCCTCAAATACAAAACCGCTTCAGCTTCCCTTTAACTTGGTGTGTGAGAGTTATTTGAGTAGTCTCCGAAGTATGTGCATTTAGGTGGTTCAGGTAGACCTGCAACCTGCTGGGGGTAGTGTAGTGTTGAGAGGGAGTGTGTTTGTACACGCCGAAGAAGCGTAGCATCTGCCCTCTGTGCAGTGTGGGGTGTGATGTAGAGGGTTATGTGGTTATGACGAAACTATAACACAAGGCACGGCGAGTTTCCTTCTGATCGTGCCTTGCGTTGTAGCTTCCGGGTCACGTAGGGGTCGATTTCGTCTGGCCATTAGGGAGTTTTAGAATAGCGCACGCTAAAGCTTTGCGTACGCAAAGAATAGCGTCGTCGCCACTGCGCATGCTCCGAACGCAAACCAGGTTTTGCGCTTTGCGTGCGCAATTTTAGCGTGCGCTATTTCTCGGAAATAGCGTGCGTACGCAAAGAGTCTTTGCGCTTCTCCTAGGAGGATTCGTGATGAGAAGTTGGCTAAATCCAAGACGAGCACAGTTAAAAAAACATGGCGGCTTCCAGGATTATGACGGCGGCTGCTTTGGCGGCGTCGTGAGTGCGACGTCGGCGGCATCCTCGCGAGTGCAATTTTCAATACGAGACGAAATTGTACTCGGTTTGGCAACGATTACCGACAACTTGATGCTTGCGACGCGCGAACATTTCACGGCGAAGGTATGATGTGCGAAGGTCAGTCTCTCCCAATCCTTGGGGTTGTGTTCAGTTCAACTCTGGACTTCTCACCTCAGATTGCAGACACTGTGTCCAGGGCCCGGCGGACTCTTGGCTTTGTCACACGTGTCTCAAGGAACTGGGGACATGAAACTTTCCGCGCTCTCTACGCTGCCTTAGTCCTGCCTCGTCTGGAATACTGCTGCTCCGTGTGGGGACCCTTCCAGGCTCACCTCATCGACAGGCTGGAGGGCGTGCAGCGCCGGGCTACTCGAACACTTCATTCTCGGATGTTGGGCCGGCAAGTTCCTGTGCCGCCATATGAAGCTCGCCTTAGGGCCCTTGGGTGGCAAAGCCTCTGCCACCGCCGGACAGTGGCTCGGGTTGGGCTCCTTTGTAGGTTGCTCGACGGGTCCATGAGTGATACCCACCTCCACTCATGCATCAGGATCGGGAAGCGATCCGGGCAGCCAAAACTCCTGCACGCCCGAACAGTGCGCCACTCGCACTCCGTACTCCCCGCCGCCCTCAGAGACTTTCTTGCGGCTCCCCTGTCGATTCGATCTCCACTCCCCAACAACCGTGACGAGTCCGCTGCCTTGCGCCGTGCATTTTCGCGGTCAAAGCACCTAAACTGATTCTACGCCATGATCAGTGTTCGGTTTCATTTTGTTTTTATTCGTTCTCTGTTATTGTTGTTTGTTTTGTTATTTCATGCCCCGGGTGGTTGGCTGACAGGCACTCTAGTGTACGGGCTCTCGCCTTTCTGTCATCGCCTCGCAAGCCACCCCGGGTTACATTGCTCTTGCAAATAAAGATTATTATTATTATTATTATTATAAGTACACGAGACCTCTCTTGCCGAGGCGACGCAAGCGGACACGACCGCTCAACCAAGCGGACACGACCGCTCAACCGCTCGCGTCGCGTTCTCATGTTTAAACAAAATAAAATGCTACTCTGGACCAAAAAACTCGTTTTTTTTTTCTAAAGTTACAGCATTTCGTGTGTGAAATAAATTTTTTTACTGTATCTTGGTGGCGTCGCAAGCGCGAGATGCTTGGGCTTTGTCGTCGCGGCGGAGAAACGCTATTCTAAAACTCTCTTGCGTCGCGTGCGCTAATACAAGCGCTAAATTTAGCGCTAGCGTGCGCTAAAATTGCGTACGTTATTCTAAAACTCCCTATTAACAAGGGGTACTCGGATCGTTGGCGGCGTGCGTAGATGAGTGGGCGACCTTGCAGCACCGGCGCACAATGCAAATATTTGCCTTTTGGCGCCGGTGCACCCCATAACTCCAGCAACTTGTTATGTTTCTTTTTATTCACATTTGATGTCAGCCAAACAAGTAAATATGTACTTTATTTTGTTTTTGTTTTGTAATTGCAACTTTTTTTTGTCTTTTGTTGGTTGTTATCTTTCAACATTTAAAGCGAGTAATAAAAAATTTATTCGTGGATCACCCCTGCCTCATGTCACCTCTCTAGTTCATTTCCACCCCAGACCTGTTGCCTACAAATCAATATTTTTTTTTTTTTTTTAGAAAAGAGAAAGTGGTTTTTGGCCTCTTTTACGGACAAACTGGCGGACACTTTTTGTGGCAGGTATAGCCTAAAGTAGATCGACAGAGTACCGGCTGATTCCCCACAAAGTGAGGTGCTATTTTACTGTTTTCGCTGGACCTACGCTGCCCATTCGGGTCTTTACTTAACACAGAATGCGTTCTATCAGCCGATTTTTATGAAATGAACGACACGCTGGACCACACACACAACGTGTGTGCTTGTGAACGTGCAAAACACATTCTGTACTTTCTCAGTCTAGGTCAGCATGAACAAGCTTACGTAAATGTTTAGCTTTTCTTTTTAATTCAAAACAATATTAGCGGTTGCGAACATGACAAAAACACTGAAGGTAAAGGAAACGATATAAATAAAAAAACACAGGTTTCCAAAGTAAGCCAAAACAATCATGTTGGTGAAATAATCGCAAACTATGCACGAAACCAAATTGTCACAGGATTTCCACGACAAATGTTACGCACGCATGGCACGTGTGACATTTGCGTAGGGGACTCCTTGAATAGTAGAAAGACCCTTTCTTGAAATCTGTTCGCAGATCTGACCCGAAAGTCTGACCAGAAACCGAGAATCGCTGATCGGCACCTTGTAATTAAAGCCATTTTACACGCGTGTCACTGCGTAGCACGCGTCCAGCGCGTTTACATATCAATAGTTGTTGGCAATTCGTAAAAATATGAAGCTCGATTTTTATCAAATTGTTTTAATAACAAGGTGCTGTTCAGCGTTTCTCGGTTTCTGGACAGACCTTTGCGTCATCTGCAAGCAGATTTGAAGAAAGGATTTTTTTACTATGCAACGAGTCCCTTACACAAAGTGATCAAACAGAAGCGTCAATTGTTACCGCCTACAATTTTACAAAGGAAGCAACCACAACCCTCGCGTGCTACGCAAACGCCAGTTCGTTTTAATGCCGAACTCAAGCTTACATCCTCCGGTGAAAAATATTCACTTGGGAGAAGTATATCCACCGCCCCATTCCCGCAGCGAATTTTGAAGACGACGACGTAGGTGACGCATTTTTCGTATTTTTGATTCCCACGTTGCTATGACCACCGGGACGTCTTTCACGAGCCGCGTTTGATTGGCTGTCCGTCCCCTTCGCAAGAGCGGCCGTTCGCAAGGAAAGTTTGGCAAAATACGGAGTAGCGAATTAGTCGAATTCGCACCGCAACTGCGTTGTGCCGCAAGAACGGCGTCGCAATTGCGAAATCGCAGGCTAATTCGCACCATGTGAATCAGGCATAAGAGCTGCGCTTTAAAACATCTTGTCTGCCGCGTTTTGCGACAATATATAGAGTGTTTCACGACGCCCGGGCTAGGGGGTTCGCGCAAAAACTAAAGTTCTTGATGCGGTGTCAGATAAGGACAGAGATGGCAAAATTACTTTTAAAAAGTAATTAAATTACATTACTAATTACTTCTCTGAAAACTGCAAAAATTTAATTAAATTACATTGCAAATTAGCGCAAGCTAAAGGTAATGGCATTAGATTACAATTACTTTCCAGAAATAATGAATTTACTTTGAAATTACTTTCACATTACTTTTGAATACTTTGAGGTGGTAATTGGGGCTCATTTTATTTACCGCATACACAAACAGTGTTTACAAAACAAGCCCTCTTTTGCCCTCACAGCGCGTGTGCATAAACCAGATCCGGGAAAAGCGAGGCACTGCGCGTGCGCAGTACCGACAACAGCACCACCACAGTGATGTCACGTCAAAGAGCTGAGTTGGTCTTTATGTACCAAAACTGAGACCTTCCCGTTTACACCGCAACAGCCCTACGCGCCTCAAAGTGAACCATACTGAACAGTGGTTTTGCTGGCGCATACGACGTAAGTGTTAAGCACGATGAATAGCTTTTTTAGACGTGACTCCGAAAGACAGTCGACTCACCGGTTTCCCTGTTCATTCAACGGTGAAGGTTCTCACTAAAAGGGTGACATGTTTGCGCCTTCCTGGTTTAGAAGTTGTAGTCCGAGTCCGTTTTTTAGGTCGGACAATGGCAGCTCGTTCTTAGTCGTCACGTGAAACGTTTCTTTTTGCCTCCGGATACAATCTAATTCTCTTCTCCAACGAGCCTCGGTCACTCCTTTCAAGGACCGTTTTCCCCAAACACCCAAAGGGCCCTAGTTTCTGTGTATTCTCATACAAAGGGCCTAGATAATTGCTAAGCAGACGCGTTGCCAGTTGCAGACTGGCGCGAGCTTCCTAAATTGTGCACTTTCCCCACAAACGGCGGGCGATGTCTGCTTGTAGGCTTCTTCCCGAATACACTTCCCAAGGGAAGGCAGCGAGGCATACCGCGAGCGGCACCTGCTTTGCTCGAGGACGCACGAAACGCTCTGGGGCTTTGACAAGGCATTTGGAAATAGCTATTTATTCCGGTTGTTTGCTGTTCACTATGGTCGAAACTTACGGTTTGATTTTGCTTTACGAAAGTACAGGGCTGGGGATCTGCTTGCCCCGTCCTCTCAGGTTTCAAATTATGTTTAACTCACTGGTGATGGGCCTGTCGCCTTGTAGCCTATGAGACGTTCATCCCTAAGCTGACGCGCTGCCAGCTTAGGGATGAACGGTGAAACCTCCGTGTTCTTGGAGCGGTCACACGTCTATCGTCCGCCACGTAACCCGCCCCACTCTCGTTCATGCCCACGCTCAACGAAAGGGGCGGGACAAGTGATTAAAAGAAGGTGCTTGATTGGTTCTGGTAAGCTTGCAGCTCCTATGCACTGTCAGCTTAGGGATAAACGAAGCATAGTATCGTCCTGATCTCGCGATGGCTTGAGTCTGTCGTGCCCAGGGTGTAAGATAGACAGGTGGAGAAACGGCCCATTGAAACCTACCGCAGCGCCGTGACCGTATTGTGCACTCGTCTGCTTGCGGGTACCCCCGATTTGCGACAGATGGCGCTGCGGCGAAAAGAAAAAAATTGAAATCGAATTTGCATGAAACTTTATGGGAGAGTGCGCAAAATAAACCGAGAGCACGACAGTCCTCCACTGAAAATCCACGAGAAACCTTCCCCGTAAGTTTAGCCGGTCGCCACAGTTCGTTCACTCGGAGTAAGAGTTCGCGGTGCTCCACATTAATGGCGCCACAGAAAAAGAGAAAACCGAGGGGGACACAATTTGGTCGCTCATTTGGCTCTTGTTACCCCACCTGTCTATCTTACTCCCTGGTCGTGCCATGGAGTTCGTAAGCTGTTAAAGCCCCTGTATACGAAAAAGGAGGACATCCTTTGAAGAATGCCGCCTGCTATCTTGGAGCGATCCAGGCGGCGCTAACTTCGACGCGCGAGCGCGAAAGAGAAAAGTGTAGCAATAAGAGTGTGCATAAGGGAGGAAGAAGGAATGCCTATGCTGTCGGAGTGCAGTGCATGCTATGAGCTCATGTCGCCAATGAAATAATGCCGACCGTGCAACGTCACGGCTTTCATCGTCTTTCTTTGAGCACATCCTTCGCGGCTGGTAGACCGTGACAGTGCGCTTTTATCCTGTCTGTGCATTTGCGTGTCTTTCAACCTTTGACTGCGCTCTGACTCAGGTATAAACCAAATATAGGAAGGCCGTTTGCTTTCTTGGAGCAATCTAGGCGACGCCACAATCGACGCGCGGGTGTAAAAGAGCAAAACAAAGATAAAAGGTGTGCGCGTCATTGGAGAAGGGAGAAGTCGCTGCCTTTCTTATTCAGGGGCATTAGTAAGCCGTTACCTTCCAACGACGTCTACACGCGAGCTTTTCTTCGCAAGAATGACGAAAATAATCTCTGGAGAAGGGGAAAAAGAGGAACAAAGGACAACCACAAGTCTCCTAGCACAGCTAGGTGACTGGTGCGCGACCGAAAAAATCCGCCGTGTCCGGGTATCGAACCCGAGACCTCTCCATTACAGCTGGAGCACTCTACCAACTGAGATAACCAGGGGTTGGACGTCAGTAGAACAAACGGGTTTTATCGGCCGCCTCCAGTCTAACACCTTTCCAGCCCTCCTTTGTGCGTCTACACAGCTCTTCGTAGAAGGCTTTGCGCTCAGGTGGCCGTCGTTTATTTCCTCCGATGCTCTTTCGCAACATTTCAC